TTTGGAGGGCCAGAAAGTTCCCTGAAGAGAAAATGGTATCCGGCCTAGGCTCTTCCTTTGGATCCTCAAACATGCGTGAGAGCGCATCAGGCTTTGTGTTCTTAGATCCAGGTCTGTACGTTATATGGAACGAAAAATCGGGAGAAAAAGAGCGCCCATCTCGCCTGGCGTGGTCATAAACTCTTTGCTGTCCTCAGATATTCTAAATTCTTATGATCGGTGAAGATCAAAAATCGGATGCGTGGCTCCTTCCAAGAGACATCTCCATTTCCTCTAGTGCTGTTTTGATGGCCAACAATTCTCGGTCGCCAATGTCATAGTTCCTCTCGGCCGGGGTTAACTTTCTTGAAAAGAATGCTACCGGGTGCAGAACTTCCTTGGTGCCTTTCCTCTGGGACAGGATGGACCCCACTGCATTCTCAGATGCGTCCACCTCCAGCACGTACGGCAGAGAAGCGTCCGGATGACCGAGAATGGGTGCAGTGGTGAATAAATTTTTCAGAGACTCAAAGGCCTCCTGGGCCTCAGGTGTCCATCTAAAACGAGTTCCTTGTTTGGTCAATTGCGTTATGGGGGAGACCAGACCCGAGAAGTTCTTAATAAACTTCCTGTAAAAATTAGCAAATCCAATAAAGCGTTGGACCCCCTTCTTATCTGTAGGAATTGGCCATTCCAGAATTGCTGAGACCTTCTGAGGGTCCATCGCGACGCCCGTGGTGGAAATGATCAGTCCCAAAAAGGCAATACTGAGCTGCTCAAAACTGCACTTGTCAGCCTTGGCATACAGCCCGTGTAGGCACAACCGCTCTAATACCTTTGCCACATGATTTCTATGAGTCTCAAGTGAGGGTGAAAATATCAGTATATCACCTAGATAGACGACTACAAAAACATCCAGGTAGTCCCTAAATATATCATTCACAAAATGCTGGAACGTGGCCGGGGCATTGCAGAGTCCAAAAGGCATGACCAGGTATTCAAAATGCCCGAAACGAGTGCGGAAGGCTGTTTTCCACTCGTCCCCCTCCCTTATGCGTACCAGGTTGTAAGCACCCCTTAAATCTAACTTTGTAAAGATAGCTGCGGACTTCAGGCTCTGAAAGAGTTCTGGGACCAGGGGCAACGGGTAACGATTCTTAATCGTGACCTTGTTTAACTCGCGGTAACCAATGCAGGGTCTCAGGGATTTATCTTTTTTTCTACGAAGAAAATCTCAGCCCCTGCTGGTGAGGTGGAGGGCCGGATGAACCCTTTTTGGAGACTCTCGTCAATGTAGTCCTTGAGAACCGTCAATTGTAATTCAGATAACGGGAAAATTCGACCAAATGGAATTTCGGAACCGGGTAACAAGTCAATGGGACAGTCATATGGGCGGTGAGGGGGCAGGGTATCTGCACCTCGCTTACTGAAAACATCCAGATAGCCATGATAGGCCGCTGGAATGACCTGTTTTAAATTGGGGTCCCCTATCGAGCATTGGAGAACTTGGGGAATCGCGGGGCCCGAAGCACGACAGTGTTCCTGACAGTATGGTGAGCGGAACAGAACAGACCCGGTCTCCCAGTCAATTTGGGGGTTGTGGGCCCGCAACCAAGGGAGCCCCAAAATGACTGGGAAAAGAGGTGACGCGATGGCGTCTAAACAAAGGAGTTCGTGATGCTGGCCAGCTATTGTGGTAGGGATAAAGGGGGTCTCCTGATCAACCAATCCCAACTTAATCTGGGAGCCATCAGCCAGAAATATATTAAGACCCCCTTTTCTGGGCTGTAGGGGAATCTCCTGCTGGCGAGCGAAATCAATATCCACAAAGCAACTGCATGCCTTGAGTCAACTATGGCTGTCACCTCCACGATTCTTCCTGGAAACTGGAAGGAGAGGGGTACAGCCAAGTAATTGGACTGTCTAACATCCCCCACAGATAAGGAATAAAAGGAAGAGGTAGTCTTACTCGCTTTCAGAGGACAGGACCGTACCATGTGACCGGCTTCACCACAGTAGAGGCAGAGATTCTTGGATCGTCTCTGCTGGCGTTCCTCGGGGGATAGCGTAGGCTGAGCCAGACCCAGCTCCATGGGTTCCGGGGTATCCACAGGAGCTGGGGTCCGGGTATCCATTGTGGTAGGTTGGCTTGCACTCTGGACTGGGGCCCATGTACTTCCATGACCCTGGCTGGACCTCTCGGACCTGTGCTCCCGTAATCTACGGTCGATTTGGATGACTAGGGCCATGAGATCTTCTAGGGACTCAGGTAGGCCCACTCGGGCCAGCTCATCCTTGACGGCTTCAGAGAGCCCAATGCGGAATTGGTGGCGCAAGGCGGCATCATTCCACCGTGTGTCTCCCATCCATCGCCTAAACTCGGAAGTATATTCTTCCGCTGCCCGGCAGCCTTGTCTAAGGGAGTATAGTGTCGATTCGGCAGAAGCTGCCCGCTGCGGATTGTCGTAGAGGATGGCCATAGCCTCAAAAAAAATCTTTTACTGTCTCAAGGTGTGGGTCTTGGTTCTCCATTAGCCGATGGGCCCAGTCCTGGGGTTCGTCCTGGAGTAACGAGATTATGAACCCCACCTTAACCGACTCTGTCGTGAATGTGCGGGGTTGTAAATTAAAAAACAGGAGACAGGAGTTTCGGAAGGCCCTGAAACGTGTATGGTCACCGCGAAAACCTTCTGGCAGGGGAACACGGGGTTCGGCCAGAGGTGGCGCAGCAGCAGCTCCCGTGGCCGGCCCCGGGGCTTCCCTGGCTGGGGAGGCAGGAACAGGGGCTGTGTGTGGTAGTGTCAGAAACGGTGAGGGTCTGGAAACGATTTTCCAGGTTTGTATACTTGTCCTGTAAGGACGACATGGCCTGAGTCAGGCCTGCTAAGTGCCTGCATATGTCTTCCAGTGGGGAGGACCCTCCTCCAGGCTCAGTCATGGCCGTTTGGTACTGTAAAGGACCGCCCGGCGGTACCTCTAGCACTCCACTGGTCAGGTGCTTCCAGAGTGCGGAATCTAAGTCCCGGAGAACTTGTTCACCAGGACCCCTGATGGTGGGGATGGACTTGGAGCGCACCGAGACCAGGTCGCGACTACTGGGCACACTTACCAATGGTAGAGGCGTCTGCCGAGGGCTCCCGCAGAGTAAGAGCCTGATATGAGGAGGTTGGGCAATCCCGACGGGATGGATTGATGGCTGAGCAGGTGCAGGGTCAAACGAGCCAAGTCGGGAGCCGTGGGGTCTGCGAGGTACAAACAGCAGGCAGAGAATAGTCGGGTCACACGCCAGGTCAGCAACAGTAGATCAGAACCAACAGGGGGCATCCAGGAGAGAGGTCAGGCAAGCCAAGGGTCAGGGCAGGAGAGTACAGCAATGTCAAGAGCAATCCGGGTCAGCAACTTATCAGAACACAGGTACACACAGATCAGGGAACAGGAAAGACCAAACGGCAACCAGTGACAGCTCAGGGGGATTTAAATATATCGCCAGGCCAGTGCCCGTGGACCCTAGTGTGCATGCGTGAGTTCATCGCCGCGGCCAACCTAGACCTAGTGCCCCTATCCCTGTGCGCCCTGCGCCTGCGCCGGGACCAGCACCGCGGCGATCCCTGACAGGGACACTTTGAGCCTAGAATATTGCACCTTTTCACAATATTCTAATTTTCTGAGATTGTGGATTTGGGGTTTTCATGAGCTGTTAGCCATAATCATCACAAGTATGACAAATCACGGCTTGAACTATCTTGCTTTGCATGTAATGAGTCTATCTCATATATTAGTTTGACCTTTTAAGTTGCATTCTTGAAATAAATGAACTTTTGCATGATATTCTAATTTTTCGAGTTTCACCTGTATGAAAGGAATTCTGATTGTGGTAGGAACAAAAAAAAAAGAGAGAGATCGAGAGAAGAAGTTAAAAGAGGTAAATGAAGAGATATATATATATTAGAACACATGCAGAAATATTATACTTTGTTAAACAGCAACACATTTTAAATTACACTAGAAGATGCAATATTTGTCAAATTGCTTTAGAAAAAAAAGTGTAATTTTTATGCAAAAATATTATTCTATTTAACAGATGTTCAATTAAGAGCAATTTTATTTGCTGTAAGCCTATTCATTACTAAACATAGATTTTTTTTCAACACCTCATGTGTAAAACAAACTAACTAGATACATTGAGGCTAGGTTCACACTAGTACTGTTGTGATTTGATCTGCTTTTCAGTGTGATTATGTAGTACAATGTAGATTAATCCCTTCTGTCAGGGAGGTTTGTGCCAGAAACCGAAAATGTGGGGAAAAAAAAATGAAAATTTTCTCATTTATTTCCAATAAACTCAAATTTCATCATACATTTAGGCCAAAATTTTTTTTTCTATATGTCTTTGGTAAAAAAAAAAATCCCAATAGGTGTATATTAATTGATTGTGTGAAAGTTATAACGTCTACAAATGGCAGTATAGATATTGGAATGTACACCATTTTTTGCTACACAGCATTGCGCTAGTTTAACCACTTCAAGTCCGGACAGGCCAATTTTCAGCTTTCAGCGCCATCACACTTTTAATGACAATTGCGCAGTCATTTACCACTGGGATTTTTATTTTTTTGCTATATAAATGAAAAAATCCAAAAATTTTGAAAAAAAAAAATGTTTTCTTATAAAATTTTGCAAATAAATAATATTTCATCATAAATCTTGGCCAAAATGTATTCAGTTATCTTTTTAGTAAAAAAAAATAACCCAAATTAGTTTATAACCAAAAATTATAATTTTTAAACATTTTTTTTATATATTATTTTTTTTTTTTTATTCACTGTCACTCTAGCAGTACAGTGTCACCATGGGGACACTGTACTGCTTGTGGGGGGTGATGAAGTTTGTTTTTTTTTTTTTTTTTTACACGGATTGCTTTTACATCCATAAAGGCTGTAAAAGCAATCATTTCTCCTTCTCTCTGGCTGCATTCTTGCAGCCATTGAGAAATACTGCGTGAGCTGTGATAGGTTGAATAGCTTGAATAGCTTTGTACCATGTGACCTCTGGGATCATTCACAGATTTCACACGTAGTAAGCAATGATGTCAGAAGTGACATATTGCTTACTACTCTGCATGTGATTACTGATTGGCCAATCAATGATCACATGATCGGGACCTCGCACAGAGGTCCCGTACGACGATCGGTGTTCCACGGTGTCTGGAGGACACAGCAGGCACCAGATCGCGGTGCTGCATGCTCCCAGGGAGCACGCACAAGCAGGGGGCGGGGAGGCCATTTATAAATGGCCACCCGCCCCTGCACTGCCACCATCCAGCCATGTATATACAACGGCCGGATGGGAGGTGGTTAACTGACAATTGAGTGGTCATGCAGTACTGTACATAAATTAAATTTATGTCCATTTTTTCACACAAAATAGAGCTTTCATTTGGTGCTTTTTGATAACTTTTTTTTTTATACACAGAAAAAGACCAAAAATTTTGAAAATAAAATATTTTCTCATTTTTGTCATAAAAATATCCAGTAAACACAAATGTTGTCATAAATTTAGGCCAAAATGTATTTTGCTACATGTCTTTGGTAAAAAATCCCAATAACTGCATATTAATTGGTTTGTGTGAAAGTTATAGCATCTACAAACTATGGTATAGATACTGGAATTTACACAGCTTTCACTTTCTAAGCTATCTGCTGAGAGGCATGTTGAGTCATGGAAGATTTTTTTTTTTTCCACAAGTTTCTGGAAAATGACAATTTTTTTTTTTTTTATTACTCAAAGTTGTCATTTAACCACTTGCCTCCAGAGGATTTACCCCCCTTCATGACCAGGCCATTTTTGCTGTTCGGCACTGCTATTTCAACTGGTAATTGTGCGGTCATGCAATGCTGTACCCAAACGAAATGTATGTACTTTTTTTTCACACAAATAAAGCTTTTTTTATTTTTTATAAACAAAAAAAGACCAAAAATTTAAAAAAATTGATATTTTTCACTTTTGGTTATATAAAAATATCCAATAAACTCAAAGTTAGTTATAAATTTAGGCTAAAATGTATTCTGCTACATGTCTTTGGTAAAAAAAATCTCACTACATGTATATTAATTAGCTTGTGTGAAAGTTATAGCGTTTACAAACTATGGTATATATATTGGAATTTATGTAGCTTTTACTTTCTGACTGCCTATCACATTACTTGAGGTGCTAAAATGCTCGGGGAGTACAACCGCACCCCCAGAATGACCCCTTTTTTGGAAAGTAGACACGCCAAGGAGTTTTCAGAGAGGCATGTTGAGTCCATAGAACATTAAATTTTTTGCCACAATTTTTTTGAATAAGACAATTTTTTTTTTTTTTTTTTTTACACAAAGTTGTCACTTTAATGATATATTGCTCATGCATGCCATGGGTATATGTAAAATAACACCCAAAACACATTCTCCTACTTCTTCCAAGTATGGGGATACCACGTGTGAGACTTTTTAGCAACCTAGCTACATACAAGCCCCCAAAATCAAATGACCAATTGCAGGCTTTCAAAGGGCATATTTCCTCATATCTCTTCCCTACTACCTATCACAGTTTTGGAGGCTCTAAAATGCCAGGATAGTACAACACCCCCCCCCCCCCCCCAAATGACTCCTTTTTGGAAAGTAGACACCCCAAGGAATTTGATAAGAGGCATGGTGAGTATTTTACAGATATCACTTTTGTCACATGATTTTGAAATGAAAAAAAAGAAAAAAAAAAAATGTTTTGTTTTCTTTCTTCGTTTTTTCAAAAACATGTAGCAACAAATGAGATCTGCAAAACACTCACTATGCCTCTTAGCAAATACCTTGGAGTGTCCACTTTCCACAAAGGGGTCATTTGGAGGGGTTGCTGCTACTATCCTGGCATTTCAGGGTCAACATTAGAAGCTTATGCCACACATCACCCACTCTTGAAGACCAAGCCTTTTCTGATATTTTTTATTCAAATGAAAACTTTTTTTGCTGGAGGGGCGTGTCTAAGATGGCGTCGGGAACAGACGTCTCTCCCTGAGCTCCCTGATCCTCCATCCGCTGCCATCCGGGGAACAGCGGGCACCCACAACAAATCCCCGGCTGCCCGGACCTTGCCTGACACCCGAGGAGGGGTGTCGAGCTACTCTGCCCCTTCTCTGAGAATCTGGGGCTCGGGGCGGTTTGAGGCCTACCGCGGCATGTGAAGCCGCTGCGTTTCCTGAATCTGTGGCTGGAGCGGATCGCCGCCGCGGCCGGTTCGCCGCACCACCGCCCTGCCCATCCAACTCTGGACACAGGTCAGCTATTGGGATAGGCTGGGTGGGTCCCCCTGATCCTCCTGGTGGCCCTGTGGATTATACCATATCCCTGCAGGATCCCAGCGAGATACTGGGGATCTGATTTGCAGCAGGAGTAGTGCTGGATGGGGGAAGGAATTCTTTCTAATAACCCCCTTCCCCAGTGGATAAATCAGGGGTGTCTGGGATATAATTTTGGCAGCCTCTACAAAGCCTGCATACCCAGCCTAGGTACCATAACCATCTACATTTCACTGGCTGCAGCATTATGTTGAACTTTCTGTGAACACCTCCCCGGTGGGGGACACGTACACGAGCCAGGGGGAAAACGCCAGAGTGACCTCCCTGTGCCGTGCCACCGAGACATTTCTCTCGGCCATTGGGCTTTTACACCCTAACTTCAATAGTCTGAAGGTGCCTTGGAAACCTGTGGACCACTCCCAGCAATGCACCGCACTCCCCGCACTAAACTTAAACATTGGACCCGACAGCAATCCCCTCCGCAGGGGCCACATCGCTAAGCTGATACCTAGCCCGCCTGAGCCTGATGACAACACCCAGCTTCCAGGTGACCCTGAGTCTGACGGCGATAGTCAGCGGCAATTCCCATCTGGGATGGCTGATTCTCTTGAACACAATCCCGAAGCCTTGCTACACAAATTCCGTGCTATAGTGCGAGAGGAGATTACAGCTGCCTCGCGTAAATTATCTTCTGATCTGGCGACAGGCCTAAAGGAGTTGGGCCTTCGCGCCCACCAATTGGAGCAACGTATGGATCTGGCGACTACAGTCTTGGAGGGTCATGAACAAGAAGTGGAGGATCTACATGCTGAGCTGGACACTTTGAAAGATAAGCTAGAGGATGCTAATAGAGCTTGCAGGGATAATCTCCGCATCCGCGGAATCCCCGAGGCAATCACCGATTTGCAGGGCACTGCTACTGCTCTTTTCCAGGAGTTGGCCTCTGAGATTCCCATGGAACGTCTGGAGTTTGACCGTATCCATAGAGCTCTAGCACCTAAGCCCACGGAGGGTCCTCTCAGAGACATTATTATTAAATTGCACTTTTATCGCACTAAAGAACGTCTACTGCAGGCGGCTCGGAACCGTTCGGCTCTGGAATTTCAGGGTCACTCTGTTCATCTGTTCGCAGATTTGTCCCCAGTTACGATTGCCAAATGTCGCACCTTAAGACCCTATCTTCAAATTCTTCAATCGGCTGATATCAAGTACAGATGAGGCTTCCCTTTCAAGCTCTCATTCTCCTTTCAAGGTCGTCAATTCCAGGCCTCTTCACCAGCGGATCTTCGGTGTCACTTTCGGGAGCTTAGTTCCACTGCCACAATCCCAGAGTGAGGAGACTCCAATCCCTACGCATCTTCGAAATTCCCAGTCTTCGTGTAAATCTCCTCCTAGTCAAAGTGGTTCACAGGCCCTCCAATCCCTAAAGGGCCAGCGTTTTCAGGAAGTCTCTGCGACTTGATGTTTAGAGGCTGGCCACCAGTATGTAGCTTAGTCCCGTTTGGATTTTTGCTGCCACTTTCTAGACTTGACTCTAGATCTGTTCAGGGATTTCATATCTCCGTGTGTTTTATCTCTTCCAATCCAGAGTGGATGTTTCTTTTCTCTGCACTGATTGGTTGAGATCTCTATCGTCCTGCGAGTTTCTGATTACTTATTCACAGGTGTATTAACCTTAGTTGTTTGTATAATATTTTTATATTTTATATTAATGCCGAGTTGTTCCGGTGGATGGTCGTGTCCCCCATCGAGCTGGCTAGCGGTCTGGTCTTCTGTTCCGCCCGCTACCTAGCCTTTATGTGGGTGTTTTACCCACAGTTGATTACTATATTGTTTGAATCAACCTCCATGCTTCACAGATATCTTGCTTGTATATCAGATGTCTTCTTGTCTTCTCCTTTCTTTTTCGTCTCTTTCTCCTTGTCCTTTGTCATGTGTGTTTTGTGTTTTTGTAAATTTTTTTCCAGGGCTCCCGGGTATCGCGGTGGATTTAATCTTCCTTTTTTTAGATCACCATGTCGTTGAACTGGTTATCACTGAATATCCAGGGGATGAACTCTCCACAGAAACAGGTAAAGATATTTAAGTTTTTCCGGGCTCGCCAAGTTGACATTGCTTGTTTGCAAAAAACTCACTTCTCCACTACTTCTGCCCCAAAATATTTTGATGCACGTTACCCTCAGATATTTCAAGCTACTGGCCCCACTAAACAGAGAGGCGTATTGGTCGCCTTCCATAGTAAAACTCCATTCGTCTGTCTGAGGCGTATTGCTGATCCCAATGGCAGATACCTTCTGCTCCAGGGCACGATCCATGGAATAGATGTTACCATAATGTCCTACTACGCTCCCAACGTTAACCCTGGACCTTTTCTGTCACACCTATGTTCTCTTCTGGCTACTGTCATGGAAATTTTGTATTTACAGGTTGAATTTTAAATGTGTCATATATTAATGTTATTCATATGTCTCTCTTGTGGCTTAATTAAAGCTCTGAAGGCTGCAATTGGGCCATGCACATGTACAATGTATGTATTACAGTACTCAGCTCGGTAACGGATGAGATGGCAGATGGCTTATAGACTGGCGTGTATACCACCACGGCATTCGATGCGAATGCCGCTGGCGGTAGGCTGCGGGCCTGTATCCACATATCAGCAGCATAGTACCACATGGACTTCGTACCGCAAGGCGCCAAGCAGTGTGAACTCCGTGTGTAGGCTCATGTATATCTTACAAGCCATTACCAACCTGAAACTGTATCTGGATGGATGTGTTTTAATAAAGATCGTATCGGGCCCATTCAGATACAGACTGGCACTGTTTAATCTAGGGGATGCTTGTACAGAGAATTTACATACCACTAGGAGCTAATAGGATAGGAAGTTTGCTCTCCTCAGAGAGCTCATGGAGGGGAGGGGAGGACTGGTGATAGATAATAGGAAAGGCTATGCTCCAATCGGAATGTACATCCTGTGTATATGCATTCCCATTGCATTGTTCTGTGGGAGGGGATTGACCTGACTCAT